GGGACCATGGCAACTAATTCCTGAGGATTCCTTTATGCTGAGTAAAGAGTAGAGATAAATGAGTAATGGTGTGGTAATGACCTTAGAGTAGATAATGGAGAGCTTGGCACTGAGAGCCTGCTCACCAAGATGTTAGTGTCATTATACCACTGTGACCAACTGGCCAATCAGTCACCTCCTAGACTTCCTCCCTCTTTTGCCTTAGCTGTCTTTTGATCCAGTGTTGCACAACGGGTTATTACAGAACCTGTTCAAAATTTGATTTTCTACAACAGCGTATCGCCATTCTTATTTTTCACATCTACAGCGAGGAGTCTGAGATTTAGAGAATATGCCAATGTCAATTCATATCCATGTTTGTGAATCACTTGGTCGTGCTGCCATTTCTTTTGGTGTGAAGAATATTATGTGTGTTTACAAAACATACAGATATAATTTGATACCTGATTTAATGCTGTGGCTCTGGATTTGATTTAAAAAAAAAACTTACTAGAAACCAAACAATATTTGAATACCAATAATATACAGACCACGCCAACATTATGTAACAGATGTCTACAAAATAAGGATTATGGTCTGGGTTAGATCATTTAAACAACTGCATGCACGTCGCGGTTCCTCGCAAGTCTATTTCAAGTAGCCAGCTATTTAAAAATGATAAAATATTCTTTATGTGGTTCATCAACACTGATAAATTATCCGAAAGTCCTGCGAGGTGCAAACAACTCAGCACAACACCACTGAAGCTGAGGCTCCGTCTCTTCAGCAAGTGTTCCTCCACTGCCACTGCCACTGCACACATACATGCTACGCTGACACATGCGCACTGACGACCCAGGGTTAGGGTTACAATTTTGGATTTATTCACGTGCTTAAAAAACATTTATTGAAAGTTCTTTTTACATGTTCATTACAGCATTAAACGTTGAAATGTATATTGTAATAGGCTGTATATTAACTTATTGGGAGAAAACTGGTAGTTCTATGTAAAATCAGTCGTTGAGCACCCCCATAACGCCAAAATGGCATGATCCTCGTTTCACTGCAATGCTTCGAATGTGAGATTGACAGTCGAATCAGGCTCCGCCCATCGAATCTTCGACTATTCGGGTCAGCCCTACTGTTTTTGTGATGTTTGTGGCAAATATATACACATAGATAAATTTATAAATAATAACAACACTAATTGTAAGTGTACAGTAACAGTATGTGCACATACAGTACACATCCCCCCATGTATTGTTGTTTTGTACTTTATGTATTAATAATAAAATATACAATAACTACTGGACAATATAAATGCCATGATGTTTTCCCATTTACTATCAGAAATCAGAAATTACATTCTCAGTTTTTGTCCTAGGTCTATTTAATCATCATGACTTTTCAGATAGTTCTTCAGCTTGACCCTCTAGCAAAAGGATAAGAATTGCAGTACAAGTGATCCATCAATACAGATTAGTGAGCTACATTTAGATGAGCTGGATGGTTAACTGGCTGGCCATATTTTCCTCTACAGCCATCCCTCTTTCCTACCCTTTAACTGCTACAGACATAAAAAACAAAAAAACAAAAAAAAAAACACACACCAAGGGTTGATGAGGTACTCTCTCCTTTGGGAAAAGCTGCTTTTTTAAAATTTTGTTAAGAAAAAGTCACACTCTTTGAAATGAAATCTTTCACCTGTTACTTTCTACAGTATTTGAGTCGATAGGCTTTTCATTGTGCTCCCTCTCAGTCGCATGTGTTGTCTCTGCTTGACACTTCCTCCTCCTCATGGTAGGTGGTACAACGGCTGTTATGAAAGCAGGAGCCATTTCCAAGATGGACAAAATAGGACCAGTTTGCCAAAGCTGGTCAAAAGAGAGAGTACAAATATGGCTGGCCATTGTCCTAGTGACTCTGGCACCATGACTCCAAACATATGTGTAAATGGACACATCACACACTTTGACATGTGGACTCAGTAATTAACACTACTTTGATAACAACTGATTTCTGCTCTTTACCTACTGAGGGTCCCGTGGGGACCAGGAACACATTTGATTTTTAAAGATCTTCTTAATCCAGCTCTACTTCAACAGCTCTCCTTTAACTTCTCTTCTAGTCAGATACAATGCAGCTTCCAGGCTACAATAAACAACAAGATGAAGTGCAGCAGGATCGCAGCTGAATCTTTTTGGGTTAATCCTGACAGTTGTGAGACAGGAAAGAAATGATTTGTTGGAGAAAAAACAAATAACCAAACAAAGAAAAGCCAATTAATTTCCACAATTCTGTCTGAATAGTCATGTAAACAGGAGTATTACGGGGGATTGTCAGTTTATGTAATTACTGTATGTTGGCAGTATTGAAATCATTGTCGCGTGTAAACATAGCTGGATTAATTGAATGCAACGTTATGAATCACTTACAGTAAATGTTATCTGAGGCAACCAAAATAATATGTTCATTGTATTTTATCTTTACATCATTTAAAATTTTACAATCAGATTGTTGCCTTTTGATAAAATGAGTCCTCAATATACAGTATATATGGACGAGATGGTGGCAAAGGTTCTAATATATAAAGAATGAATCTGAAAAAGGGACATCTATCTTTGGCTGCAAATTTATGGTGGAATATACATTTTTAGAATAAAAGTATTTTGGTGTATTGTATTTTCCAGCTCTGGACACTCTATTAAGATATTGTAATTGTAATTGTAATGTCATTGCTGTTATGTGTGCTAAGAAGAACGGATGTGATTGGTCACCACTGTTATTGTATTCTGCCTAATCATGCCAGCTTCAAAATTTCAGTTTAGCCCTGGGCCTCTCGCCATGGAAATAGCAACCTCTGACCACTGACACTGCCTTTTGTGCGAGGTGCCAATAATTCATGAGAATAGCTAAAGAGGCACACTTCTTTCAAATGTCAAAGACATTAGTCCATTAGAGCCTCCATATTGTATAACCATGATAAAGTCACCAACCGTGAACTAAACCCGCTGCCGAAAGCCTAATCAAATATGCTAATCACTTCTGGTACTTTCTAGATTCAGTTTGTAGTTCAGCTAATCACTTTCAAACTATCAATATGAGATGAGCAAGGTGACCACTCAGGTCGTTACATCTGGCAACCACGTCAATGTGTGTGCCAACCGCTGGTGACATTTCACTGGAGGGACTGGCTCCAGTTTCTGCATTGATTGTACTCAGCAACAAAGATAAACTTTTTAACAGAAAAAAGACACCAAAATGATTCTTTTGATAATGTATTTCTGTACATAAATCAACAAAACTACCTCCCTACTACAACCCCGGAGACAGTGACTGTGGGGTTCAGCTGTGTGTCTGAAACAGAAACTTTTGACAATATCTGTCCATAAATGATATTACAACCATCTGTGTCGGTTCAACTTGATTCGTCTATGACAAAATACTACTTCAATGATACATACAGTAAAGTATAGGCCCCCATTTCAGCAGGAAATACCTTGTGTTGCATGCCACCTCTTTCTACACTATAAGTGAAATATAGCCTAACTAATAGAACAACTGGCAGCAGCAACATCCACAGTGATTTAACATCCACTTAATAAGATATTCAAGACAGCTGTCAATTAATTACAAGGGCACAGCACATTTACTACAATGTATAAAAACTGTTTAGCTTGCCAACAGGTAGGAGATAACCTAAATGTATGTGTCTACACATCTGATTATAGTACAAACAAATAACTCCTACTCTCCTGCCTCTGCTTTATCTTTCTGTTTCCTGCCTGTCTTACCCTGTCTCATTGCTTTTTCAGGACAGTTGGATAAAGTGAAAATTATTCATGAAAACCAAGTCAATAATGGCTATCTCTAACATCTTTGCTGTATCCAGGCATACACCTCATTGTCATTCAAAACTTTCCTGCCACAACAGGTCTAGACTTGCAAGCTTGGTTTAATGGCAGTGGTAACATGGAACCCAAAGATGCAATAAATATCACAAGCAATATACCTATAGACATAAATAAAACATAAAGTAACATATATAACAAGGCCACTGATACTAGAGAGGAAAGAGGTGGCTGTGGCTCAGCAGGTCTACTAATTACAGGGTTGGCAGTTCGATCCCATGCAATTTAATACTGGCACAGTAAAAGGATAACCTCAAGAGAAAATATAATATAATATTTAGGAAATATCAAATAGGCCAATATTTAATTGACTGTAAGAATTAACAACTCCTACTTAACTGTTTTCACATGAACTTTACTGTTTTTTCATTCCATCCTTGACACTTAAAACCCATCAACACTCATTAGCTACTCTAATTGCAATGCAATTCTGCGTCTTCTGGGAGAGCCTTTACAGCCCAACACCTTAATTTGAATAAAAAAAGAATTATCCCCCACACTAACAGACATCCGCTAACAAAAACAAACGTACACCAGAGCCCAAACGCTCCTACAGGTTAAAGTTAGTAAATTCATCTGCAAAGACAAGTCTAAGTCTAAAAGTCAGTTTGAATGTAAAAGTGTTTGAATTAGGGAGGGAGGGAGGGAGGGAGGAGATAGATAGATAGATAGATAATTAAACTATATTTATTTATCAACTATACAATTGCACCATATCTGCTCCCCGACCAACAAGAGTGTTCCTTGAATGTTCGCCAAATGAATAAATTATTGTGATAAAGCTCACTGGTGTGATGTACATTCACACATTTGTGTTTTCATGGCTGATTTACTGTAATAAGTGTTGGCATGGAGACGGCAAGACGCCATGTACTGCATTACTAAATGTTTGTCCTTGGAATTATTCCCTCTGATGAATAATCAATGGTGATAAAGATTACTTCACAGTGTTATACACAAAGTAGCCCCATTGTACATTGTTCTTCCTTTCTTCTAGTATATACTCGACATAGGAGGAATAAATCTTTGATGATGTGTTGTAAGTTTTTCCAACATCTAGCTACAGGAAAAGCGCTATGCTTACTATGCTAGCAGAGATGACAGACTTACCGTCAGGCGCATCGGCATCACAGATCCTCGTGGTCGGACCTGCTGAGGGCATCTGACTCTGATCACAAAACACAAGAGGCATGGATCTGTTTAGCAAAGAAACATTACAAACTACTTCATGAGGCCCAAACATGCTGTGAAGAAGGACCAAAAAACCATAATCTCTGACAATCTATAATACCAGAATAATATGCAACAGCCTTTTACTCATAAATTATAGAATGACCTTATGTTTTACAAAATAACAGAAAAATCACCTGGATAATTTTGTTCGTTTTGCCATGGATAAAAATAAGATTAATTCATCTTGCACATGGCAAATATTCTTTACACTTCTGTGAACATTGGCACATCCCTGCTCAAAACTGTGCAGCTATTTCATTTTAAATAACATATTTTATACATTTTTATAAAGGTTTTTATATTTTTACTGTCATGTTATGCTTCTATACTTGCACTATTTTCCACTTACTATTTTTATTGACATGCACCAATATACCAAGGCAAATTCCTTGAATGTGAAAACTTACTTGGCAATGAACCTGATTCTGATCCAATAAATAGACCTAATTCAGAACCCAATAGAGCAATATGGGCTTTATGGTTTACCTTAAACAACAGGTACTTAGGAATGGGATGTACTTCACAGAATTTTAAGGATTGCTTTCACTCACAGTAAAATATCTTAAAAGGTTACTAAATTATTTAATAAGGAATTTACTGTGCACAAGTCTTTTAATCACTACATACAGGCCACACTATATTTGCTAGGCTGATCTAAATGACACCGAGACAATGTAGTCAAATACTGTAGGTGAACAGACAGCAGCAGCAGAAAGGACCAAGCCATGTTTACCCTGTGAGTCATATAGAGTTGGTTTTCAAAAGGTTATTTTCTCTCATTTAAAAACAAGATGTTTCAGAGAACGCAATGCTGTGGTTCATTTTAATTATGTTGTTTAAAAGATTTTTTGAGACAAAGCATAGACACAAGGTAGCATCTAAACTGCATGCACACACCCACGCAGAGAGAGAGAGCAGAGAGAGAGAGAGAGAGAGAGACATCACACCAGGGTAGACTGTCAAAAAACAGATCCACACAGTAATAGCCACATAGTCTAATACAGAAAGACAGAATGTAAAAGGAACAAGAGTCTAAAAGCACCGCAACCAGCCCATAGAGACCATGCTGCTGCCTACACCCAGCTTGGCCAAAGTGGTTTGAAACCACTGGCTGACCAATACTGCCATCGTTAGGGCTCTATCCTCACATGGGAGCTCACATCAGCTAGACTAAACCTAGACATGCATTGTTCCTCACCTGTACAAGATATTTCTGGCTGCCATACATGACATATTGCGGGGCTAGGCTGTAGATCATGTAGCTGGTGTGCAGGACAATCAGGAGAAGAATCATACAGAGGAAGAGAAGAGCCTGGGGGCGAGTTCTCTTGGGTCTTATTTTGTATAGCTGAAAAAGAAGAAAATGTTAATGTGCAATTAATAGTGTATTTGCACAGCTATTAGAGTAACACACAAGCAGGGCCTTTGCTTACCCTTATCCAGAAGAACCAGATGCCCAAGTTGCGGATGCCAGCCATGGATGTGACTACAAAGTACATGGTGATGACTGTGATCAGGATATAATCCAATGGAAAAACCTGTGATACCAAGGACAGGGGTAAGCTATATCTATCAAATGCACAAGTAACATATAAAGCCATTATTGCTTTCAGAGCCAAACATTCAGGCAGGCTGGCTGCCTCTCAATGATGCTTGGAGCTGTTAATGAGCAACCATCATCAATACCACTTGGTCTAGCCCAATTAATCTAAAGCACATCTGAGCTGGTGCAGTGCATTCAGACATTATCAAGACTGAACACCAAGAACTTTATTTCAAACCTTTTCCTATTAATCTGACAGTAGATTATTTACAAGTGTAGTCTAGACATAAAAACACAGTGCATGTAGCATACTTCATAATAATTGATAATGTTCTGTAATGCCCCCCTATGTAGTACCCCTTTTTGAGCATGGTGGATTTAATTCCTTAAATACCAAGGTCATACTTAGACATTTAATCAATGCCAGTATCTATGAAGCAATTCTTTAATGGCCTGAGCTGTCAGTCATTTTTTTCTCTAAATTCTCCTGCAGAATCCTAAGTTCAACAGAGGATATTCTGTTAAGCATCCAGACCTGCGGCAATGTAGTGATTTAATGTTCTGTCAATCTCAATAGTTCACATTTTAAAAACTTAAAATAAGGCTTTGGTCATTTAACCACATTGCTGATGCTGTATACACATGCAGGTTTTCAGAATCCACAGATACATTTTTTTTACAAAAATAAAAATGTTTAAAGATGACAGAGGCTATTTTTTTGCCACCCTATAGCTCATAACTTTGGACGACATTACAAAGATTCTGGTTATGGGTGCAAGTTTCCATTTTGAATCAGATTTCAGGATTAATAAATTCCCAGATTTGTAAAGCTCCATGCATATTATCAAATCCCAGTTCCAACACTGACCTGTAGACTACAACACTCAGGATTTGATTATTTAAATGGCACTATCATGAGACAACAGGCAAGAAAGACATTTTGATTATTTAACCAAGTTTCCAAGTTCACCAAGGTTTTTTCTGGATCATTTTTCAGATTGCAAAAGGCTGTTCCATATATTGTACAGTATATTATACACTTCCACACCTGTATTTCCTGTATTTCCAAATGTGGTTTACACCAATACATATTATGGAACTTGATGGAACATACAACGTAAGTGCCTCCTGAAGAGCAGTCAGTGGCTTTAGATTAGTTTTAAATACTTCAATCATACAGTAATGTCTGTCTAAAACTATCACTATCACCATCAAGTCTAAAAACCACCACTTGACTGGATATGCTACAGAGAGTCTGGTAGTGTTGAGTACAGCACATGATAATCATTATTACAAAGGTAGTAGGCAGGGCTATCTTAGACTGTATAGCACTGCAGGGTTTTCTTTTTGTGCCCACCTCCCTAAATAATAACATTTCCATCATTGTGCAGGCCCTTGAAAAAGAGGTTTCAGAATCATATCAACAGCTGGTTCATTACAGTTGTACCAGCTATACAATGATGTGTTAGAAATTAATTAACACTTTTGTGTGTTCACTTGTCATCATTTCTAGAGTGCAGCAACTGTCCTTTACCTTTGCCATTTAACATCTATCACGCTCCCTTTTGTGTACTGTGCTCGTAATGTTGGAATTTCTCTCAGCCCTGCTCTCTTGGAAATGTTTATTATTTTGAAGTTACTGCAAAATACATGTGTGAATAAGACTGATATGGATATAAATTCCCTTTTTGTAATTTTGTTATCTTATGGTCTTTGGTAAAAATATAAGCAGTGCCTATCAGACGTATCTAAAAGTAAAAAACTGCCGATTGACATTTAAGGCAATATGACACATTTAGTGTTTGTACCTGTTGTACCTTTGTTGAAAAGACATTGTTATTTCAAAGTTCACCTGCAGTATAGTGAGCACAAACAGCCAGTTTTAAACAGTATTTTCATGTGCATTTAAGAGTAGCCAAGAATAAAACTTTTAAATTATGCTTAATTTAGGGTAATGTTGGTGGAAACTAGAAAATATGGCTTTAAGCATATCTGAATTGAGGATAATCATCCTTTAATCAAAAATGAAGCATAAATCTAATGTGTGCACTTTACAAAGATTATTTTCTCACACTATAAACTTTAACATCAAACTGGTGTCACAAAATCGTCTACACTTCAATTCAATTTTTTTTTTGGATGAGATGAGAGGATACTTACGGGTTGTAAGGATAATAGAAGCTCATTTAGAGGATTGGTTAGGTTTGTGCCAAAGATTATGAACCCAGAGCTGATGCCAGCAGAGTGGAGAGCTTTATCCAAACTGAAATACACAGAAACAACTTCAATATATGCATATACCTCCAGAATAACAGGAATAATTATATAGTTAAAGAAAGCAATTGAATTTGTAAGCTGTATTGTGTTAAGAATGATGGTGTATCATGACTTACTTTGAAATTAACAGGGCAACAGTGAACAGCAGTGCAACCAGGATAAAGAAAATGCCCAACACTATCTGCAAAAAACAACAACAAAATACATACAATACATTATAATTCCAAACAGTGATATGCATCCACAACCAAATGAGGGATCTGCACTCAGGTCCATGACTAAACCCCCAGTAAGTTAGGTTTTTGATGGCATCTACTAGGTCAGCAAATACAGCCTTTCTGTTTGTCTTTTGTCAAGGAGAGACCATATGGCTTGGCCAGCCATAGTTTGGCACAGTTGCCTAAGGTGACAGGGGGAAGCAATGGCACGGCCCGGGCAGAGCAGGGAGGTTGTAACCACGGTGGTAAAAAGTGGGTTGCAGCCAAAATGGAAATAAAGCGGGCCTTTAAACATAAAAAAAAGCAAAATATTTAATACAATTAAAATATCTGATGTTCCAGTGATGCACAGCACAGTGTGACAAAACGAAATAAATAAATAAAACAAAACACAATAATATTTAGCCACAACCACAAGTTACCAAGTTAATCACTGTCCATGTCATAAAAGACTGATCAGATTAACCTAAATGTATAAAAAAAAAAAAAAAAACTGTACATAAAAGTGTATTAATTTTCTCAATCAAGCATGCAGGACCTCTGACAATGTCAATGCCTATATGTAAATAATTATGAGAAAATAAAGTAATTTACATCATAAAAATCATTCAACCAAATTAGCTCTGACAAAACATCCCTTGATGTAATTTCTCATTGTCGCAAAGCATCAATTACAATCACGAAACTGATAAATTGTGTTGCCTTGATATGAACAACAATTTAAATAAAGTTAGGTGGCAAGACAAAGGAAAAATAAATATAACATTTAAATGTACTGATTAAGCCCTTATCTCCTATTTCAAGCAAACAGACAAAAAATATATTGCCTAATTTTGATATAGGAACACCGTTATTGGCTATTAAAAAGTGAAATACTAAAGAGGAAGCTATGATATTTGCAAAAAAAGCTTTTAAATCATGAAAAGATGGAATTTATTTTCATATCTCAACTGAAAATGTGGCACAGTTTTTTAACAGAGAGAATGCCTGTGGATTATGAATTACTTATCTAAACAGAACAGCTTTTTTATTTTTACCTATGTTTTGTGATCAAAACACATTAATTATTTTGTGAGGTCCAAGCCCTTTTAAGTCATTTTCACTTACCACCAAGGATGGTATAAAAACGACAGCATGTGTTTGAGAAACAGTGGTGCAACTGCTCTGGAGAAATCACAATCATTTGGCTTATCACTCTACACCAGTTCCTGAGTATACAGTAAATAAATCTCCCAACTCATTACTGTTTAAATTTGAGTCTGGGGACAGTCATTAGCAGCAACCCCCTTGGTTAAAGACAAACTGTTACAGACACTGGTTTAAAATGTTTGTGCATGCCTGCAGTGCAGTAAAATACTGGAAAATTAATAGCAGTGGGAAAGTAAAATGTGAACTAGGAGAATGATTTTGGAACTCATCCTGCCTTTAACACAGAAATGTGATTAAAACCGTGGAACCTATTTTGACTATGCATCATCATTGCTGTTGTGTATAAATGGACAATAATAGCATGCAAATGCAATGCACATCCATGTGCACTATGCACTTAGATGTGACTGAGGGTTGGGTAAAGTAAAATATGAAAATGAGGGTGCAGAGATCACTGCAGTGAATCATTACAGTACCATTTTGGCCAGTCCCATTACTCTTTTTATACCCGTTCAACAGCTAAAGCAGGAAGTGTGTGAGGAGAAAAATAATATTGTTGCACTTGACTGTAAGGTGCACAGAGGTAAGATAAGTAGTAGCTACATTTTTGGTTACCGTGTTTTCCATTCTAAAGGGAGACTTAATATTTAGTACACTATATTCAGTACAAGTAAATATGTTTTTGATTTAGGTTTAGGAAAATAATGACTTATTTCCTGAACCACCACCATCACATTTAACCAGAAAATTATAGCCATGATTCTGTTATCCTAAGCCATATTGATCACGGCAGCCTCTGGGCTGGGCAAATTCAACGCTCTTTATGCCAAACCGTCTACAAGGATGCTGCTGCACCCTGGTAACCGAGCGGTTTTTGATCATCTCCAGATATTTGCGTGGCCGGGGCAGTGGAAGTATTTGTACCAAAATGGCCAAAGGTAATTATGTTTTTTAAGTCTTAAACAAATGGTTCCCCACCTCCTTGTAATATAGGAACAATATATGAGGTCCAGGTATTGGTTGCCAACCCAAAAAAGAAAAATCAAAGAGAAGTTGCTTTGGTTTGTCTCTGGGGAACCATGAGAACCTGCCTGAGAAATGTGAGACTCCCTGAGAGACTTCAGACTAAATTAGGTGAAGAGACTACCCGTGGGAATCATGTAAATATGCGGTTGTGTAAAGTAGAACTAAAAGTAAATCTAGAGCAGTCCAGATTAGAACTTGAGCACAACGAAGCAGTTTGGGAGGAAGATGTTGAAGGTGAGAGAAATGAACAAAGGCATGATACTTGGCCAAACAAACATTTTTAAATTACACAAAGAAAGAAACACAAAATTAGCAACAATTTGCACATCCAGTAGAAACACTGAAAGTATTTGCCTTTGTAAGGCATCAAGGTAAAAACATAGTAGTTATCATTATACAACACAAAGTTGTATAGAAAAAAGAAAGTGTGTAGTCTCTTCATACTACACACACAGAACTTTACAGGTAATTAAACACATATCAACAGTCCATACTGGACATAAAATTTACTTCTGTGGATGGGAGCCAATTCCATAACACTGACTCACCTTGAAAGGTCTGAGAGCAGAGCCCACTTTAGTGCAGCAGTTCCTCTCTGCAATTTCCAGGTGTCTCCCCCTGCGCTTGAGGACCTGTAGTTTGCCCTCTAGCTCCTGCAGGTTGTGTCTGTCCCTTGAGGAAAGAGGTCGTCCATCTTTACACTGGCAAGAAGAAGAATAAATAAACAACCCAAAAAAATTAACAAATACCCATATGCATGTATGTTCACTTCTGACATGGAGTAGTTGGAAGCTTTATCCCCCCAAAAAAGAACAAATAATGGGAAAATGTAATTAAGTGACATTCCAAAAATTATCTATTGACAAAAGTAACTTTTTTAAGTTGGATATTGGATATTGTTATTATGTGAGTGGGTGGATATATAAAGTATTAAAACATCGCAATCTGAAGAAGCAGATATAATTTATCTGCTAGTAAATAATTAGCACTATTAGATAATATGCTATAAAAGTTGCAATTTAATTACCTTCAGCCACTAAAAATTAAATGATTGGAAGAAGCATTAATTAAGAATTTAGACATTAACCTTTCAACTACTAATGCAAACTCTTTTGTGTGCATTCTATGTTGCACTCTAGTTTTTCTTATCTACTTATCTACTATTTAATATAGCCGTACATGGTTTTATATATCTAAGCAGGGGGAAGAGGAGGAATGATGAATGCACTGGTCATTCGTGTTCAACTTCACGTTGAAACTGGCAACTAATAGAAACTAATACACATCTTTACTTGTGTTTCCCTATTTGTGCTATGTGCATTTCAGGTATTTGGATGATAAGGACAATGCTAACCATCCATAACTGCATGCCAAAACAGAGGGGCACAGCAGAAAGATAAGGAGAAGGGACTGATCACCTGGAGGCTATGCATGTGTATCTTTTATGATGATACACCACAGATTATTTTGAAGAAAAAAGGAACACGCTCTAATAATTTAGTTTGCTGATATAATTATCTATATCTTATCGCTTCTATGTTTTGTTCCATGAAGTTATTCCATGACTTGAAGACAATTCAGCACTATGTCTTATGCATTGTGTCAGCGGGTGAGACCAACCTTGGATTTCAGCTTTTCTATCTGATGCTCAACATCATCAATGTCCTCTGTGTTCTCCAGGCGTTCATACACCACACTCCGTGTGCCTTTTATCAGATTCAAAGGCAGTACAGACATACCGTATGCCTGAAAGACAATGCAAAACTACTGTTATACTCACACATTATTGTCAGAGTGGGATGGCACATATGGCACGTGCATCCACCCACACATACCCACGACTGCCTCATGACAAACCAATCACGATGAGGAACACGGCACCAGTCGAATGAGGGTAAATAAACACACACACAGCAAATCATATAGTTCCTGGCCTCCCGGGCTGTCATTTTTGGTAGAGGAAAAAAGATTAAAATGGTGGATACTATAATTGTGATGAGGTTTATTGGTGAATTTGCTGCAACCATTTTGTGTGGATATCACTACCTTATATCACTCTGACGCAATTTACAGCTTAACAGTGCCCCCATGTGACAGCATTATCCTCTTTCCAGAATTTGATGGCATTTTTATAAGTACAATTTAGGGAGAAAAAATCTGGGTTAGAGAAGGGGCATCAAGGTGCCATCAATGCTGAATGTATTGACTTTAAAGGAATACACATCAACTTTAATTTTCTATTAGAGGTACACTGTATAAACATAGCCAGACATACAGAAAAGACTTACACACATGCATAAAGTGACAGCCAAGAGAGATCGAGAATATCTGTACAAAATTCAAAAGACATCTTGAGCCATCAGTGGGCTTTATTCTCCTGAGGGGTATTTTAATCAAAAATGAGTGACATCTCTTATACCAGGAAACAGACCAATCAATACTAATGAAAATAAAAGCAACAGATTGGTACCTTCTTGCTTTCCCTGTGCCATCTCGCTTTAACCAACTTGTAGTGCCATTTTATGGATTCATAATAAAACAAAGGGGCCTTCTGTGTAAAGGTACTTTCAGCCCTGTCAAAAGCTGCGGCCTTTTTTTCCCAATTTTTTGTCAAGTAGGGAAACGTCAGTGCCTATATTTTTCTCAAACAACTTTTACTAGTTTCTGTGTGTTAGGTAGCATTAAGAGAGTCGCATGGGATACAAAGTCAGGCTAGACTATTATTAGTCTCTGCAGTGGATCTCTGCTACGGGCGAATATCGCCTCCTGCAATGAATCATGGAGCTCTTAAAGGCCGGAGCATGTCCCGAATATCAAACACACTCATAAAAGGAAAACCTGTCCCAGATCCCAAGAGTAACATTTCCCTTCCCTTCAAATGTGCAACTACATGGGAGAAATATAAAAGAAAAAAAAAAAAACACAGGTGTCCCCTCTGCTGAAGTTTACATTTTAGTTTATACATAATCATGCATGCTGATTAAAGTTATTTTAAAACCCACTGTGGTCAATAATAACCAGAAATAGCTTAGAGTAGAGTGGATGGGAGAGAGAGAGCGTGTGTGTGTTGGTTGAGGGGAGTTAGAGGCTGAAATCATTCAGAAAGAGTCATGTGACTGCTGAGTGGGAAGAGGGAGAACTAGATGGACATAGGCCTCCTACACAAGACTCCTCTTTGTTGCTCTTTTTACTTGTGATGGCGGAGCTAAAAGGGAGGAGGGAGAGCCCCCCCTGCCCAAAACCCACATTCTCAATACCTTTTGATAAAGAGGTCAGTCCTGTGTAGCATCGCTAATTAGAACAACTCAGTGTACACGTTGGCTTTTATTTAATTCCACTAATATAAAATATTGAAAATGACCAAGCTCATGTATTCAAAGATATAAAAACACATACACACTCTCATGAATCCTACAAATTTGGCAGTACTGCCACTGATGCTGGTTTCCCTAATTCCATTTGATTAATAGGGCAATTTGGCAGTTTGGAACATTAAACCACACAAGCTCCACTGATGCAGAACAGTCTTGTTAGTGTGTCTATGTGTGTCTATACCAGAAATGACAGGGTGAATAGAGGTCATAAGGGTCCTGAAATCCTGTTTTATCTACTCAGAAAGTTATTTCTGTTTTATTTTTATATTTTGCCTCCCATATTTTCCATTAATCTAAATGAAAACATTTGTACACAGGTTGTTCTGAATGAAGATCATATCTATACTTATAATTAAAGAGATTATCATCAATTGCTGCCCCTGCCAATTTTAAGTGGAAGTAGGAAGTGCTTTGATTAATTATTAAAACATTCAAATCTTACAAGTCATTTCCTAAATATGTGTTTTACATTAGGAACTAATTCAATAGAAAATAGCCTAAACTCACATAAATATTTTAGACTGGTCTGTGGTGTTAGGCCAGTCATAATTTTGCTATAAGATCAGTCTAATGCAAGTTGGACAGTTTCACAAAAACAGAGACTGACATATTTTAAGCGCTAAAAGTTAGTCACCCCACCCCCAGGCTAACTATGAGCTAAGAGCCATGTTTCCCTGGTAACAGGCAGTGACACCTGCTGACTGGTGGCACCAAATGACAAAAAAAGAAGAAAACACAGCTCATAATTTGTAGTTTGTTAAGAAGGCCATGGAGCGAGTGAAGAGAAGGGATAGAGTTTTTAGAGAGTGCAGTAACCGGTTGGAAATATACAGCAGTAAGAAAATCGTCAGTCGTTTTTTTCTCACTCATCGCTGAGTGTTTCCAATGAAATGTCCATGTAACTTCAATTCTTCCGGAGGGCAAACCTTTTCTGCTGGAGTGGACGGAGCTGAGTGGTTTGAAGCCATGTTTACCCAGAATTCATGCCCAATTAGTCCTAATGAAGACAATCACAAACTAATGTGCAATGGATGAATTTAGGTGTCTATCGGAAGTCTGATTATTAGTTGGATCTAAGCCATAGTTAAAGTCTATCTTTGTCAAACCAGCCCCTGGTCAGGTTTTGGGAATTGAACGACCATCTAGGCCAATAAACCTGCTAAATGTGATATTAATGAGCGTAAACCATACTTCATCTTGATTTTGTTTAGTTCATTTGAGCAGTGGTGACCTGTTCATTGAAAACTATCCATCTCCTCCATGGTCAAGCTCATTGAATCTTGAAATGAAATGAGGCATACTGTTTCAATAGCGCCTTGCAGTCTATCAAAGATTGATTTGGTTCTTTTCTCACAAAGATTGGAACTTGACTCCAAAATACTGACTGCATGTCGCTGAAGTGTGAGGTACTAGATGAAAACAACAAGATGGGAGCAGATGTCAAAATTGGACATTGTTAAGGATCACTAAAAATGTTGAGGGGCTAGGTGTATGACTGCTTGCTTGTTAAAAGCTTCCTGTTGCTAGACCTAACACACTGTTCTCGTAGTCCTTGGCTGAAACGGGGAAGGAACTCTTTCACAGCAGTCAACCATGATTGTCAAAGTCTGTCACTTTTAAGTCAAGCAACACATCCACTGGGGGAAAAGAAAAAAACCTCACCAACCACCCACTAAGATAGATGCATTGATTCAAGAATTGATTGGCAGTTTGGCATTACGGCCTAATCGTATATATGCTATTTGTTTTGTCTTCAATCATCAGCTGATCATCTTATGTTTTATTTTGTATACTGGTCGGTTGCTTTATTTCCTTTTGCTTTTAATACATGTTTTCAGGTTTCTTCCCAGGTTCTTTCATCTTTAATATGAGTATTACTCTGGATAATTCAGATAGATGATTGTCCATCACTGCATGACAATGGTTGATTTGATTTTTTTAAACTGAAGAAAATGCCCACATAGCTTAAATTCATAAGGCCATCCTAAGTAATAAAGATAATTTAAAATGAAAAAGTGACTGCGTTGGTCACGTATTTTATCCCTCTTTACATCCAGGGGTCGAGAGGTTGCTTCCTTAATTCTGAAGGCCTTTACTGTATTATAAGAGAGGTTGAGATTGACAGTGATAGGATCAAGGGGCCAGGTGCAGTGCTATAAACACTGGGGCTCTATAGAAGAATTGTGAATCCATGACATACAGTATACATTATACACAATATTCTAAAAATTAACCTTGAGAATTAAATTGTTTTCACAAAAGAACATGCCCTCTACAGACATGATTGGTTGTCCACTATAATGGTTGAACCCGGAGTTCATTCAGAATGGCTTAAAGTGATACCCTAGATCAGGGGTCGGCAAATATGTCTGGCATTGGGCCAATTTTTTTTCAAGCCGTTTGGCTACATGGCGGGCCATAACATGGTCAAATTCTTTTATATCCTTTAACGCCTATGTGTATGTTTGGCTCAGTCGGTAGTACGAGCAGGACTCCCGTTGGGAGGGTTATATGACCGATCCCAACATTCTGCAGACATATTTTTTCTCTCCCTTGTACACAAATTGATTATAAGGACACTTTTGCACATGCTGACAATAAAGCATGTGCTGCAGTGTGTGTGTGTAGATGCTTATTTTCATTTCCCTGAGGAAATCCAGGTGAATCCAATCACACCAATCTGACCAATCCACTTAAGAGGAAGTGATTATGTGGGTAACTGTAGCTGTCATGACAGGCCAGATACTATTGCTGGCGGGTCAGTTCTGGCCGACCACTGCCCTAGATGTTTCTCCCAGTTTTCTGTGAAAGACTGCAAAGGCTATAAACCCACTGCTATACCATGTAAATAAACAGATAACTCTTTCTATCTCATTGACATCTGAGAAGTGTATTCTCTTTATTACACATCAGATGTATGAATCTATCAATAAACCAATAAGTATTTGTCTAGGGAAAAGGCAGAATGACAGCCTGACATTTCAGATATAGTAAAGACATTTCAGGTGTTTTATTATTTATTATCTTTGTGGAAACCTGAGTCAACCTCTCAATGTGATTCTTTAACACAAAAAGTCTTATCAGTTGTTAATCTTCCTCAAGAATTGCAGGAACATAAAGACAAGTTCAACAAACCTACTAAGCAAGAACACATTACAGTGCAATCAGTAACTGGCAAAATAATACAATCCACTAGAGAGGAGACGTGTCACTCTGTTGGAGTTGTTGGAACTATGCAAACACAAATATGATAATTAACCTCGGAGTTTGGCAAATTCAAGTATTTTTCCAACCTCAGTTTTAGAATACAGTCACTCACCAGTGGGGCCAAATCATTTTTCACCTTCAAACACTCAAATTTTCACTCACTCATGCATTGAAATGCTCCTACTGAGCCAGCTGAGGTAAAGGAGAGCTGTTAAGTTATAGTATGCTTGCTAAGCCTAAGTCAGTATCTGCTGCTATATTGGGCATCACCATCTGGGGTATTTAGCTCGATAAATAGGTATATACAGTACATGTTAAAAGAACTTACTGTTGATGTTAATTTAATGCAGTTCTTTCCTTTTAGTTGCTAGTACTTTGCTTTTTGAAAGTGTTATAAAAACTACAGAATAAACAAGTCTACTATAGCGAATCTTACATGCCATGTTTTCTACAAAATCCAATTATTATTATTTCAACAACTTTTTAACAGAACTTTAGGACTATAATATTCTGTTAAAAAGTTGTTGAAATATGCATTGAATAAATCCAATTTAAATATACAATAGAGAAACCAAACAAGCATCAAAGGACTGGAGAATCCTAAAGTAAGTTAGTGACACCCTTCTGATTCCCCCATCTTCCCAGATCAATCTCGGGGCCTGTGATTAGATCAACAGACATTAATCTTCCCAACTTTAGTTCAGCATCAGCATCTTATGGCTAGCAATTTAAGAGCAAGATGGAGGTAGGTCCACAGGAGACAGAGTCATGAAAGTCATAAGTCAAAATGCTAGCCAAATTAATGCAAAGGGCTTCGTATGATACATGAGCTTTGAGATCGGCTCGATCAGTCTCATGTCATCACTGCTGGGTACAATCAGAGTGAGAGATAATACAGAGGGAATATGCATGTGCAAACATTCCAGGTAATGTGGAAGAAATGTATGATAGATTTGCATCATTGAACAAAATACTCACCATTAAAAAGTGACCGCTTGAGTATAAAGTCACAATGCAAGGTAGTTAGCTATTTCAAATTAACTTGCAGACCACAACAGCTAACAACAAGCTAAATGTACAATTAGTTGTGAATTTACTGTTACATTGTTTTACCAATAGAAACATGTTTCATTTAAACTGTTAGAAGTGTTTAGTTTAGCAGAAAGATGACGACATACATCAAACCAAGTCAAACCAGAAGAAATTATTTGCTTATAGAGGATGAAAAAACAGTAAAAGCTATAACTTGCAAAAAGTGCACTAAGCTACAGTGGTATGTACTGTTTACATTACAGATTTGTTTGCATTAAAGGTAGATGGCTAGTTCTGCACAAAGAGAAGGTGATAAATTAGTACAATATTTCTGCTGCTTATGGAACCTGTCACTTAGATTCCATTAAGTTAATCAGGCTTAAGTTAATAGCAACACATAGTAAAGAATAATAAATCAAACAGCTCTTTCCAAATATGGGTAGGTTGCCACCAAGAATATTTTGCCGCTTGTAGATAGAAGAGACAGGAGAGAGCAAATAAAGCAGATGAAAGGATAAAAAGTGAGATAAAAAGAGCTTCTGCATTCATGTCTGAGAATAAAAGAAGGGGCAGCTGCTGTTGTCGCCAAAAGGCCTGATTTCTTTGATTGACTTCATCAAAACAAGGAACATCAAAAACAAAGACACACTGGGAGTTAGGATTTCCACAGGGCATTCACAGAGTCAATAGCAACATGGGGCCAGTGCAAATCTGTGCACAGTGCCATTATGTATCATGTAGTAGGTAATTATCCACTCTTTAGAGAACTATGAGAAGCAAAGTAAAAGAACAGTGGAAACCATTCCAGCTGAAACAGAGTATATGTCCTTAGGGGATATTGGTTCTACAACTTACTTGGTTGTGTATTATTCATTAAGAGCTCCACATTCAATTGTTGTGTAATTTGTCAAATAGGACTCTTTGAGCTCAACAGAAACTGGATAGATTGGGGTTGGCTGTCACTTTTACTCTCACTCCCTGGGTTGATACCCAAGTGCATTTTTTTGTATTTTTCCCCCAGTAGGCACTATTCTGTGTTACTCCCACCCTGACACCAGCACCACCACCACCTCCAGGGAATATTCACAGTCTAGTTACCAAGATAACGGCTATGAAAAATGGACAGCATTAAATGTTACAGCAGTCAATTTTTCTGATCCAGGAAAAAATGAAAAACTGCAGAATGCTGAGGGAATCAAAATATAGCCATATATTAATGGACACTGAGGTAGATCTATATATATAAATAGGCAGCAGATAAGTGGTTGATAAGCCGGTGAAGTGTGCACATACATCATGCAAAAGTCTCGGGCATTGAGGTGAAAGACAGCAGTCTGAACAATTTGAGCAATTGAATGCCAGAGCTCTGAAATCACAAGGCATTACTAATACTGAAAGGCCACTCCATCACTAAGTACATCTCAAGCAAGAATATGTATATACTTTAACAAACTGCACTGCAGCTCAAATAACATTTTACAAAAACATACATTATAAACCATGACATAAGCATGACAAAAATAAGATTATTCTATTTAGTATCTTTCATACCTCAAAACATTTTTTATGTCAGATGTCTCACAATAATAGGACAGGTCCTATTAAGCTACAGGCGTGGAAAAATTTGGAAATCATCCACTGGGATGATTTTCCTTAATTACTGTGCCAATATAGCTCCACTGAACACATGAAACAACATCAACCACTTGTCTCAGATCCCAACTCACCGTGTAAGTGATCACTGCCAACATGCCAATCAATGTCAAGGAGCTAATGGAGAAAGCCAGAGCAGGTAGACCATCTGCAGGTAGAAAGACAGCAAAGCCATTAGAGATTTGACCTAGGCCTCTGACAGAAATACCAACGGAGTCTTTGTTACATGTGCAAACTAAGAGCCTACTTTCATGTGTGCACTTCGATGGTATTTAAGTCAGCTGTTTTATAAACTCAATATTAACAGCATTCACACCCAAATGCAGCGACTGTATGAACACACTGCATCTAAATTTCTTTGAATATTCTAAAGATGCTTCTAAAATGTCATTGATGCACTGCTGTAGATAATCCAATGGCAAAATCTCATAAAGGCTGTTTGACATAATTTAGTTTGCTCTAAATCCCCCCACTGTGCAGCACATATAATTTTAAAAGGAACAGGAGTGCTGTTTCTTTGTGAGACACAAATTACTTTAATGCATGGAGCTAAAACAGCTGTTCCCAAACTGAAGCTGGTACAAAGCCAGGAACTGGGTGGAAAAAAATATATTAACAAGCTAATGTTAGCTACTGTTGTTCAGTCAGCTAACATTTGGGACGAGAACCCTCTTCAATGGGTGAGAAACTTTGTTTGTTGTAATTCTAATAAAAGGTACATGGATACTGAAAATTGTCAAAGTTTTCACTCGTTTATATTATTAACAGGTAACAAAATGTCTGAGGAAGTCTTTGAATTATCCTGAGTATCTGGGGCATTGTTTCTGAAAAGAAACACTGTGGGAGAGTTTTCAGGTGGCCCTCCACTGATTGTGCAAATCAGGTCAGTTTACTCTTCATGTGGAGTACTACTCAGAATGTGAAAACAGTTGTATGTCTTCTGTGGCTCTAAAGAGGCTTTGTCAACCTTAATGATGTTATAGTAACATTATTAGGCCTATCCCAGCTTAGGCTTGGAGACTACAATTTTTTATAGAAAGCCTGCATTACAAACTGGGAAAAGATTTTGAAGTGTGAATTTAGGAGTGTCTGCAAACATGCTTTTAGGGCATCATGGAAAATGTAGGATCTGGCAGTTTGGAGCTTGAATCACACTAGTGACTAAAAGTCAGGGTATCTTGTTATCTGTTGCTTTGGTAATTCTTTTTTTAAAATCTGTCTTTTGTGACTCTCCCTACATCATGGATGTGCAATGCTAAACTGTTGGGAGTAGCTCAAATATATCATAAAACCTCTGCAAAGAAAGGCACGTGGCTAGATACCATGAAGGTAAGTGGAAGTTGCATTTTGTTGTTTGGGTAAACTGATTCTTTCAATGTTTGAATGTAACAAGGAAGACTAAGGAATTGTTGACAAAAACGTTTTATCTCAAACAGAATAACAAACGTCCAGTTGAAAACCATTTTAAAACAGACAGTTTAGACTGCACACCTGACTCCAAGAACACAGCCTGCAAGGACGTGTCTCTGTGCTAATGTTCTTAAAGGGAAAATTAGGGAACTGAATGCATTTGGGAATAATGTTATTCACAAGGACCATGCATAATGTTGTTATTCTAGTACTCTCAGATATTATATCTGCTTTTAATGCACTGCAGCAAAGTCCTCCTCTGGAGACACATCTGGTCATCAACTTTTTTTTTGTCATTTCATACATTGATCAACGGCTGGATCTTTCAATGCATGTAGACTGAGTTGATGTGTGTCACCTTTGATTGAGGCAGAAAGGGGACCACCCATAAGGCAAGGGCAACAGTAGGTGTCACACCAGCTGTCAGAACTGGAGTTGGATGACAGGGATTGATGAAGACACTGATTGCCTCTCTCCCCTGTCAAGAACCCACCTGTTAAAAGGTTCCACGTAAAAAGCTACACAGTTGTCCCTTTATTGATATCCCACATCCTCTCAGCAGCAACTTCATAGTGCCCAGCCCACCTGTCAGCATGGGCATAGGTGGCTCTCTGCTTGTCTTTCTCCTTGACAGTGGCATTTGATTGGGAATATTAAGTCAGTATTCAGGGCATGTATAATTTGTCCTGTTTAGAACATTTATCACTTTCTTTTAGAGGCATTTCATAAGCAGCAGGACAAAGAGGTGGAAAATGGAGATAAATTATATGCCTGCTCTCCATTGTATTGTATGCAAAAAGAAAACTTTGAAGTCTGACAGCTGGGCTAAACATTAACATTTGAATACATGTTTCCTATTCCCGGGTGTTTCATTGCGATTTTGCTGCCTTTGTTTAGTGGTGAGCTTGGTAAAATAGACAATAGCTCCATGTTCTGCATGGAGAACATTCTGTTCATGAACTCCACACAAAGAAACGGATAGATGTTTGCTGCCACTCTTCTTGGTTTCTTGAGCAGATTTTCCGGGGATTAAACAGAGGGAATATTGTCTATTATCGGTGGTGCTTCCACATCTGTACAGCTTCGATTCCAACAGCAATGGAATGAGGTAGCTCTTATCTCATCCTGCATATAGACCTTCAGGCTTGTGTGCATGCATGAGACTTGTACAGAGAGGTTTTTATTAAGGAGCTCCTATAGCCCTATCACCCTACTTCTGAGGAATGACAGAATCATCAAAGGCGAGCAGGAAGCATCTTTATGCATAAGTGATGGTGTATAGTATGACTGCAGCAATAACCAGGAACTGCAATACAACAGCATGTGGAGGCTTATGGGAAACTTTGGACACAATCATAGTTACTTTTTCTCTTTGCGTGGGCAAAGCTTAAAAAGTCATATCATTTGGAAAATGGGGTTAGATAGTAGTTTGTGTTTAATACGATATTTTGGGAATATTGTAGCTTCAATCTCACAGCCATGCTAATACAGATAGTATTAGTAGTATAAGTACTAACGCAAACTTGGATGGAAGAAAATGTCAAAAGATCAATCAAGATGAGATGAGAACAGCATCACTTCAACTCCCTCACAATCAATCTGTAAACTGAAGCCTCAAATGTATTTAAAGAAATAAGAGTCTCTATTTTTATCTAAATAATTCAGTTTTACCATTTTGGTTTAATTAAATAAAAAATATACAAGACTCTGAATGTAAAACTGACTGCACATGACATTTTTCACAGAAACGAACAAGGTGACAGAAGGTGACAGATTAGAATAAAACAAAGATAATGTACTGAATAGAATGGTTAAGGCTTTCAGGAAACATTTAAAACTTGGCAAATGCATAGTTCTGCAAATGTATTTATATACTGTAAGTGGTGTCTCATTTAAGATTAGTTACACTTTATTACAATACAATGATTCGACCCTACTTCTCTCAGAAACAAGCACAAAAATGTTGTCTGGCCTGTGAAACATTGAAACCAGATACAGATGAAGTCATTGCATTATGATGAGTATTTTATGAAGTTTCAATATCAATACACAAAATGTAAATAGAGAGTGAGCAACAGAGTGGAGATTCATTTAATTCAATCAATTGCAGGAAGGACAAAATTCTTCGGGCATTAATGTCCTCCACCAGATCTATGGAGTCCTTAGGTGGTGCCCTCTCTCTATGACCCCACCCAGTGAGTCATGGAGTGAACTGTGCACGATTAGGAAAAACACCTGTTTGATGTTTAAAAATGAATTATTCTGTTTTACTTATTGTTTGTTTATATATTTATGGTTTCACTGTTTCATTTTGAAATCATGTACGGTTTGGTAATAGCTTCATGCCCCTGAGTCAGGGTCAGATAAATGAACTGTCTTACCACTTCTATAAACACAGTAGTTCTTACACAGGAAAATATGCTATAACTCCAGGCTAATATTGGTTTATAGTCTTATATATAAGCTATCAGGGGTGAATAGAGCAAAATACACTGGCAGAAATAATTGCTATGTTTTAAATTTTTTCATATACAGTGTATATAGACATGAGCATGTTTTAGGGTTGGTTCTGAGTGTATTTATTCTTTTCTCATTGCGAATAGGCAAGAAAAGTTAAGTGTTAAGAATCTTGCTCAAGTATTCTTCCAAGCTAAGCTGGACTACTCCAAACCACTCCACTCCATCTTGAGGAGTGGCCGACAAAATACAAAATTGTACTGTATGTTCTTGAATACCAACATTAATAGCTACTGATCTGGAGTACATTCAGAGAGTACATTCAGGCATTACTTTAACATTGTAACATATGTAATGCTGGAGCCACTAAAGATATCATGGCTTTAATGAACAGTCATTGCAATGCAGTCAGCAGGGTTACGTGGCAAAAGTGCCTTTCCTTTTGCGCAATTAACCTCCCATCTGGAAAGAGAAGAGATGGGGAATTAGAAAAGGGATGATCCTCTCATTTACTTCTCAGCAGCCGAGCAATTTCCCCCTGTGCCAAGGAAGGAAGGTTAGGGAGAGCATGAGGGGTCCACTATTGTGAAGAGAGGCAGATGGTTCAGCTTCCTCCTTGATCCCCAGATGGCAAAAGGCCAGAAGACTGTTAGGAGCCCACATTTGGCAACACCCTGCATTAGCATGAGTATACGCACAGGCAATGCCACGTTCAACAAGTGAGGGTGCCTAAAGAAGGTGTCTTCCATGAATCACAATCAACCACAAATACAACAAATGGTACATTTAATTTCTTATTTCAGATTGATATTTGGGCTATAAAGTGTTTCTGAAATACTGATACATACATTATCGGGGTATTTTAGTAAGGACTTGTTGGAAAAGTGAATCCATAATAAGGAATAGACCGTAACATCCGTGAATATCATGTCAATGTAACTTCTTGTCTATGTCAGCACTTTTAACACTAGAACCGCCAGGGTTCGTTGTATACCTATAACCGCCATGGCGGGTAAAATTTACCCGCTATAAAAATGCAGTGATTTTGTGATTATTTCTGCTACATGTTGCTCCAACACACTTTGGGAAACATTCAGCACCTTGGCTGTGCATTTCCTATAAACACCATCCCCATATTTAAGACATTTACAGAATGTTTATTCTATTCTATTCATTGTCTTCACCGTGCGGGTCGATCGCTTGCACTGTGCATCTGTGTAGGGCACGTTCACACGCGGCGGCTCTTTTGATTTCATCCACTCGCCACTGTTATAGATGTTACAGCCTAGTTATATTGTTATATTCTTAACACAGCTTCTATTCTGCTTGTTTTTTCGGACTCCATTGGACATCCAGAGAATAACATATAGCTACAAAAGTTTGAAAGTCTAAATAAAAGTAGGCTATTTATTTGAAAGAAACGATTATTATCAATTCCAAAATTCATTGTAGATTTTTACCCAACGGAAAAACGATCACTTTTACTAAAAAATACATAGCATTGGAAAAGTTAAAGCCGGTCAAAAAGCACATGAGGGAGCCGCACGCTCTCTTGAAGGGACCGCAGAACACACCTCTATCACAGGGAAAAACTAGCCTACTGTAGCATTAGTTTTGATGATCATGTAGCCTACACAAAAGCTATAAGCAGCAGCTTTTATGCATGTTTACTTCATACAAGTGGATCGCTGTCAGATAATGACCTGTCAGATGCAGAATCAACCTAGGACACAGTGCTCAGCCCCCACTGTCAGACTCTCCTTCACTCACTGCGCTGAGCAAGTGTAATGCCTGTTGTGGAAAAGGCGTTGCATAGAATGTTTATCTAAACGCATGACATGAACAGCGCTAAAATGACTATTCTCTAGAGGGGTAAATTTTACCCGCTGGCGCTTATAGGTATAAATGCCCATTTTTTAAAATCTGGCTTTATCTTAACATTTTTTAACAATAGGGGGTGCTACATAACACACTTTTAGGAAAAGTCAAAGACTGGGGGACTTGAATATTATATTGAAACAAAGATACATACAATCAAAAAACAGCCGCAGGTAAATTTGACCCGTTGGCGGTTCTAGTGTTAATGACATCAAAACAGGGGTAGGTCCATGAGTGTCACCAGATTACCCCACTGTAATTCCTGACCAATCAAATCAATGAAGATTTAGGCTGAAAGATATACTTAACTTAACATGATTACTTTGGTCAGCTCTGTGGTGAAAATAAATCAATAAAGTCATGATGTAACAGGTTTTCTATTATCTTAAGCTTAGTTCACATTACACGATTTTTAGCCCCAGTCAGGCTGTGATCGGGAGTAAATCAGCGGTCGATCGGTGGTCACCAGTCGTTGTGTGAACTACTCAACGATGCATCAAAACGGCTTTCCAACACATTTCTGACACATCGCCGACGTCTGCCAGATATCTAGCATGCCAAATATCTGGAAGAATCGGCCGACTCGATATCTACATCCAGCCAATGAGAGCAGGCAGCTGGCAGAGCAGGCAGCTACTTTTTCACCATAAAACACTTTTTACTCACCTCCAGCTCTCTCTGTAGCACAGACGACCCCTGCTACCTGGATATGTGCTAACCCATTCTTTCACCTATATTCTTTGTCTTTATAATTGCTAACTCTATAATAACAAACAGCTGTTTCGTGTGTAGGATCGCTCACTGTCAGTTCGTGTAGTGTGTGACCCCCTGTCACCAATCAGTCAGGTGCCGACGCTGAAAGTCATGTAGTCTGCACAAGCCTTTACATGTAGCTACATGCCAACGAAAACTGACTACGTGATCTGCATATGGCTACTATCAAGATACACTATATCTGAGCAAACTCCATGTGTGCCATACTCATCATAAAATCTACTAACCTCCATACATTAGTCAACTAGGGTCTGATGGATTTGTACATCAAACATTTACAACTTGTGCAAACCAGTCATTGTCTAAGTTTTCAGTATCTTGTGACAACTTGTATATTTCCGTTTTACCGGCAATTGCACCTTATCTAAAATTTGCTCCCCATTCTTTCTAAACAAACCTTTAGACTTTAAACTGAGGCTGGATAATAGAAAGATGCAGGAAATAATGCAGTATAAAGAACGGATAGGAGCAATGGATGTAGGCGTGGATGTGGCCTCAAGGGAGAAATGTATATAACCAATGAAGGTAAAAGGTGGAATGAATTAAGTAGGTTGACTTAAAAAGAGATAAAATAAAACCTGATAGTTGTGGTGGCAACAACTATAAAAATGAGACCCAAGTTGAAAATTACAGGAAGCATTTTCTAAAGAGGATATACTTACGACTACTCCCAAGCTCCTCAAAAAGATATTGTACTTTCTCCCATTGAGTAGAATTCTGAGCAGGTGGGGCCTCAAGTGGAACGAAGGCTCTGAAACAAATGAAACAATGAGCCATACACAGATTCCACACAAAAAAGAAATTACTTTGCATATTTTGTAATCATTCTACCACAGCTACCAGTGTCACCATTGCTGTTACTAAAAGATGGCAAGAGAGCTAGAGAAATACCGACAGAAACAGAATGCTGCTAGTTCTTTTAGAAAACAATGACAATACAGCTTTTTTCCCCCTTTTTTATTCATATTTTAAGTATGTTGTTAAAAAGCAGCTGGGCAGTACAGAAACTGACTTAATCTGTATCCCACTACAAAGACCTTTTGTCTCCTATTCAGCCCAATGCTCAGACAAAAATGGAAAAAGAAGCTGCATTTATACTATATTGATGAGGTGTTTGTTCATGTTTCATGTTGTGCGCTTTATTGTCATATACACATAAATGTAAACAAATTCATTCTCTATATTAAACCTATCCTTTAAGGGAGCAGTAGGCAACCACTGTGCAGAGCCCAGGGACCAGCTCCACATCTGAGCCGGTGTCACTGGTCAGTGGTACTGACTGGAGAACGTTGTGGATAGTGGTGGAAACCGGAGCATCTTGAGAAAACCCACGCAGACAGGGAGAACAGGTGCCCTTATGGCTGTGAGGCCACTGTGCTATCCAGTGGGCCACCATGCTTTATAAATTACACACACACACACACACACACACACACACACACACACACACAAATATCTTACTCGAACTACCCACATTTCTTCAGTGGATTTAGGCAGCCTCAGTTACTTCTCTCTTCATGTAATCCCAGACAGACTCGATCATTTTGAGACCAGGCCTCTATGGGGATATACCAACACTTCCAAGACTCCTTGTTCTTCTTTATGCTAAATATACTTCTTACTGACTTTTGCTGTATGTTTGGGGTTGTTGTCATGCTGCAGAATAAATTTGGTTTGCCAATCAGATGCCTCCCTGATGGTATATCATGATGAATAAGTATTTGCCTCTACTTCTCAGCATTGAGAAGACTATTAATTCTGACCAAATCCCCTACTCTATTTGCAGAAATGCAGCCCCAAACTTGCAAGGAACCTCCACCATGCTTCACTGTTGCCTGCAGACACGCATTCTCGTACCGCTCTCCAGTCCTACGTCAAACAAACTGCCTTCTGCTATAATATTTCAAATTTTGACGCATCAGACCAGAGCACCTGTTGCCATTTTTCTGCACCCCGTTTCCTGTGTTTCCGTTCATAGTTTAGTCACTTGGCCTTGCCTCCATGAGGTATGGCTTTTTGGCCGCAAGTCTTCCACGACGGCCACTTCTAACCAGACTTCTCCAGACAGTACATAAGTGTACCAGAATCCCAGAATTTTTTGCCAGTTCTGATCTAATGGCACTACTGGGCATCGTCTGATTGTGAAGGGAAGTAAGCATGATGTGTCTTTCATCTGCTGCAGCAAGTTTTTTTGGCCGACCACTGCGTCTACGGTCCTCGACATTGCACATTTCTTTGTGCTTCTGGAAATTCCGGTGTGCCTTCAAATGTCTGCCTAGGACAGACCTTGCAGAATAACTACCCTGTGATTGTTGCTTTGCTCAGTCTTGCCAGGGTGTATGACTTTTGACAGTAAACTGTCTTCAGCAAACTCACCTTGTTAGCTGACTTGAGACCAGTTGTAGTTTTCCTACACAGCGGTTTCTGTTTCGGTTAATGATTGTGTCTCAACCTATTTATTTTATTTCATTTTACTTTTTTTTGTTAAACACAAACACACATACACTTTGATTACTTTACGCTTTAATTGTTTAATGAAATGTATGGGGCTGATTGTTCTTATGTTGTGTATATATGATGCTTTGGCAATGTTGTTATTACATGCCAATAAAGCTAATTTGAATTGAATTGAGAGAGAGATATCTATCTATCTATCTATCGAGAGAGAGATATATATCTATAATTCTAGATAGATAGAACAACACTTTTTAGGAAAACTAAGTGGGGAAAGGCTTGATGGTATTGATGCTCAATTTCAGTGCTGACTTTGACACCATTCATCATGAAACCCTTTTCCACTGATCATTAATCCTTTTTGACGGACAACAGAGAAACAGGCCAGAACCCTTTTTAGTATTTAGCATCTAAAAAGTCGAATGAAATATGGTGCTCTATGACTCTAGAAAGATTATTCTCGGAAGTTAAAAAAGTGGTAGTCCAAAAAAAACTTTAAAAAACCTTCACCAGGAGGAATCTATTTCAAATGAGAAATATGGAAACATTTAGAGTTATTCATGCTTTGGTCTATTAATCTTACATCATGTTCAAGCTTTATTTTCCTGTTTTGGTCCATCTTAAGCCTGCAGTGCAAAAACACTGCAGCCAGGCTCCAAAAACAAGTTGAAGGTTCCTCATAATTACAGTAATGGCCTTCCAACAGTGGCTACCAATTCAAATAAAAGTATTCTGAAATGAAGGCTGTCATCTTCAACGCAATGTGTGCTATGACACTATGTCATAAACAGCATTTTAAAATGTTATAAGTAGCCACATACTCTGGTCCACTGACAGAGTTCGACTTTGGTTGCCTAGGTCTCAAATAAAAACTAAAGTAAATGTGATTGGGAAATTTTCTTTGAAGGCACCTAGACTATGGAGATGCCATCCAGACTGTTCTTAAGACATGAATCAATATTCTTTAGATTAAAACAAAAAGTCTCAAAGGCCAGATTTGAGTCTAAATAAACTAAAGTAATTTGCAGTGGCAAAACAATCAAACATCAAAAATCTGCAGCAATGAAAGATCAGGGGTCATTTCAGAAGTTAAACACCTTACCAGGTATAAAGACAACAAACAAAGGCCATCAAGAAAAGACCTACTGAGTGAACATTCACCAAACAAAGCCACCGTGTCTCTTGGTATCAGAAAAGCAGTCCAGGATAAAAGCTATCATGTTGTTGAAAATCAAAGGACCAGAGCAACAATTGCCAGAACAAAGCAGCAATAGTTCCAGTTCCAGAGGTAAAAGAGGGGCTAAATTGCTTCTGTCTATAAAAAAGTCCTAAATTCTAAACTTTAAGCTGTAAGAAAGTATAGTCATGTGTCCTTTATTTTCCCAAACTAGGTAAGCCTTCTGCAATGTGCCATTTAATGGCCGAGAGAGCACATTAAATCGTATAGATTGAACTTCAGGCATGTTGCTGTCACGGCTGAAAGGGAATTCTATTGTGTGGTGCAGGTGTTACTGAACACAACCAGTATAAAATCTTCTGATGAATGGGACATGGCTGAGAATGTGCATTAGTAGAGATTTGTGGATACAATATCAGTGTTTCCAACATGTAGACTTTACTTGGGTGGGCCGCCTAGGTATATTAACAGCCGCCAAAGTATATTTGGTGAGCTATTTGAGCTTTTTGCAGAGAAACACAGAGAGAGATGTGTTACATTACAAGGCGCGTACATGGTGGTACATACTTTACATGCACAAACCAGGTAAAGCAACAGTGAACAGCGAACACACGAGATGTCATTCAATACATAAATCATTTTGATAGGGTATGTCATTAACAAGCCTTCTGCTATGAAGACAGAAAAATCCAAAAGACGAATTCTGTGACTTTATAAAACACACTGCTGATGGACAAAATCAGCAGCGCAGACACATACTGGGAGAGAGAAACAGAAAGAGGTGGGCCAGCCGGAGTGTTTGCAGTAAGAGACCAGAGGTGTAGGGGTGTGTGTGTGTGTGTGTGTGTGTGTGAGATTGGGGAAAAGAGAATTGAAAGGAAATGCAAGGTGAGCAGATTCAAGAAGTGAGTAAACACTAAAACACTAAAATAAGGTGGAGAATGAAGTAGAATTAAAATGGTGAAATAAGAAATAACCAACTAGAAAAAAACCCTGCAGCTCCCACCACAATTACACTGTCATTCTGTGGTAAACACTGAATACAGAATCACAAAACCTCAGTAGTCCCTCCACATGTGCTTTGTACATAGAGAAAATGCAAAGAATCTAGTTTAGAATCAGACAGACCAGAATAAAACCTATATTTAGACAGACGGGTCTTTTCCTATTGAATGGCTTATCATGGCCAGAGAAATGGCACTATAGCTGTATGAAGGAGCCCTCCTCTCATTAACTGAACACAATGACATATCCACACCCCTTTCCACCTATCGTCTACTGAAGCAGAAGAAGCCATCCATGTCTCCAACTTACCCAATTAAAAGGAGCACCACGCAGACAATGACGAATCCAATTGTGTACTTCAGAGCGTTTTTCACTTGCTAAAATAAAAGAAAAAATTTAACTGGTCAATCGTGGCCGTGGACTGAAATATTAGTATATATATTATTCATTGTGAATGAGGGATGGGGGGTCATACTCCATTTATCTACGGACTATAGTATGAGAACTATATAAAGTCTGAGTAGATCCAGTTTGACCTGGAAGAGATAACATGTCGGTTCCAGTGCTATTCAAGGTGCTTTTAAAGTAACGATACAAAAGACCTCCCTGTCTGTGAGAGAAAGTGCCTGTGTCAGCTCTAAACTGACACAAAGGAAGAAAAGGCTCTATGTGATAGCTGGTTGTTTGGTACATCACTCACTGAAAAGACTTCTAAAGATATAGATTAAATTTTTTGTCAAATTTCAGGTGACAATATGTGGCCTATAATTTACAGCATGGATGCAGAGGTGCAAAAGTTTGACAATATGACTATTTTTACTGCCAGAAAATCTTTAATATTTACTAATTAATTTAAATCTGAATTCATCAAAATACTGATTATTTAGTTTCAAGTTTCACTTTAATGTTTACTTGTCATTTCATGTATAAACACGCAAGTGAAATGAGGTGTTCAGTACCAGGGCACAAAAAACTGACAATATATTAAAACAAAATAACTTTAGAAAAACATATTCTATTATGCACAGAGTCGATAAAACCTGAACTAATGGTGTATTGTGAAGGTGCATACAGTATTCAAAGAAGCTTATGGGAAAACTAAAAGATTTAGGAAAGTAAATATTGAAGGATGGGCATTTGCTTTTATTGTTTGTTGTATAAATGTACAAACAATTGAATGAAACCTACACCAGAATGAAATTTGAATTTCCATACCATCATATCTGAGCTAGCTACAGTGCTATAGAAGAAAGGTGCATTCTTACCGAGCATTTGTTCACATTGTTGTCATCCCTTTCTTCATAGTAGAAATAAACAAAGGGGATCCATAGGAAGACACACAAGAGTATGATGGAGTAAAGTGCTACAGGGATACAAAAGAAGAATTAAAATTAGTCAATGATATTTATTCGTGCCAAATATTGCATGAATATCCATTACCCCTTCCTGGCATACAGTATGGCATTGCAATGCCTTTCTGACAAGTGCAGTGCATACATATACACAAACATATAATTAGAAATCTAATGTTATGTCCATAATCATTCATTCAGCAGTGTCAGATAATATAAAGACATGGAATTTCAAAGAAAACATGACCCCATTACTTAAAAACTTTCAAATGACAAATCTAGGGCAGGGATAAGTTACCACTTAATACCACAGTGAAACATTAAATAACTTACAATCATCCATAACTAAATTTTTGTAATAATATATCTCACATTTATTTATTTTCCACAAACCCAAAACATGTAATTTTCCCTCTTTCAAACTAAAATCTATTACTTCTCTTTGTTCTGGATATTTTAATATCAATAGGCTTATATATATAAGACTTATTTTCCTTTTTATTTATCATATGCTGCTGGACCAAAACATGTCTTTGTTTTGAGAGCTCTCTGTACTGTAAAAGCCAGTTACTAATACCACTGGGTGTGTTCTGAGTAAACTAAGAACAGTGCTGTTTTTGCTCCGATTGTGATCCAGGGCATTGAACAACTGATTCAGTTAAATGGGGATTTGTTTTTGAACATGTTAGCCATCTGCCATTGGTGTTTTTAACATCACTTTGGGCAAAACTCACATGGCAGGTAATCATCAGTTGCATTTTAATATTGACCGCTGCAAAAAAAATAAATCAATCTGCATCAAAAAATGATTAAAGCCGTATGAAATGAATGCAATTCATCTGTCCTTGATGAAACAACACGCTATTCTCAGATCCAAGCCTTTTTGTTTGGTTCTTCCTGTACAAGAAGCTTTTTTTTTTTGGGAGAAAAGACCAACACTCAAATGTGTTAGGAATTCACAGAGCGGAGGTGAGGCACAAACACTTAAACAGAGAGATGCTATTTCAAGCTGGGGGCTTTTCTTTCTGCAGCAAATGGATGTCGGTGAAGACAGCCCAGACAACCCCAAAATAACTCAAAGAAAACATGTCACAAAGATGTGTTCAGCAACATAGTTGGCATAGTTACCTCGTTGAGATGATAATGTACATATACCACAACCACATCAATTTAACTTTTTTCTTGCATGCTAGATAGAGGTTTGATATAACACTAGTGCTTTTGAATTTATGAGTTAAGCCTCGATTTTAAAGTAACCAAAATCAAAGTAGCCTAAATGAAACAGAGCTTGAAACATTAATGGATAAGCGATTCTGGCCTACATATAAGAAACAACAACTAAATACAAGCCCTAAGCAGTGCCAATATAACATGATAAACTACACAACAAATTTAAACCGAAAACTTGCTTCTGATACAACGTTAGTACCACACTTCAACTTCAGTGTTTATGTGGAAAGCAACTGTTCCATATCAGTCAAGAATGCACGGCCTCAAGCAAATACAAACATGCCCCCCTGTGAAAAGGACTATATTTCACAAAATGCTCTCTCTGCTGCAGACAAATAGATGTCACTGTTATAGTAGCTTGCTTTTTTTCCAGCTGTGATTGTGACAGGGCATTACTTTCAATAAACACATGCTCATTGCTGTACTAAGGTATCCATTTACACTCATTTACAGCCAGACAAACTGAGTTTAGGATGATGCCAGGAGCCAATAAATGCAAGCCATGCACAGTATGCAGCCGCTGGCATATGCTTGTGAGTTAAAGCAATGGGTAAAATTAATCATAACACCATGAATATTAACATACTGAGAGAATAGGTCATACTGCATTACCATGTATCATCCATTACTCTCCAAGATGTTCTACTGGGAAGAACGCCTGACCAGGGATACAAGTTTAGCACATTTATCCCCTTGACAGAGAGTAGAAGACTAAATAATTAAATGTCCTTACTTAACCCTGTATATCGTTAATCTGTACATATATAGTATACACTCCAATTTACTCATGGGGGAAGAAAGAAATTTAATATTTTTAGGGCTGTCCCCAACTAAGGATTTACATCAGAATTGTTAAGTCCAAAATCATGTGTGTGACCCCTCTCTCTCTCTCTCTCTCTCTCTCTCTGAGTTTTGCATGCATTCTGTGCTGCCGACAACTGCATGCACATCGCGGTTCCTCGCGGGTCTATTTCAAGTAGCCGGCTATTTAAAAACAATAAAAATATTGTTTGTGTGGTTCATCAACAGTGATAAATTATCTGAAAGTCCCACGAGGTGCTGACAACTCGTCACAGCACCAGTGAAGCTGGGGCTCCGTCTCTTCAGCAAGTGTTCCTCCACTGCTACTACACACATACACGCTACGCTTACATATGCGCACCGAGACCCAGGGTTAGGGTTACAATTTTGGATTAATTGACGCACTTTAAAACCATTTATTGAAAGTTTTATTCTTTTGATATGTTTATTTAAAGCTTTAAACGTTGAAATGTGTATTGTAATAGGCTGTATATTAACTTATTGGGAGAAAACTGGTAGTTCTATGTAAAATCAGACGTCGAACACCCCCATATCGCCAAAATGCCATGATCCTCGTTTCACTGTGAAGCTTGGACTGTGAGATTGACAGTCCAATCAGGCTCCGCCCATCGAAGCATTGAATCTTCGAGTATTCCGGGTCAGCCCTAATATTTTTGAGGATTGGTGGGCAAAGTGGCTATAAAAGTTTAGCGTCTACCAATGTAGTGCAAGCTGGTGAAACAATGTGAGGACATCAACACAAGCAATAGTTTTACCTCATCATGTGTTAATAATTATTAATGGCAATTCACAATGACCATTCAGAGCAGTACCAGCAGTTTCACTCTCAGCACCATGTATGGCTCATTGGAAAACCTTAGACCCTTGTCCTTACCTTGGTATGGCCCTCAGCAGGGGCATTAGCACCTGGACTCTTGTCCTTTGCAGACAGGCAAAATGTATTACACTTTATGTGAAAATTAAATGCCAGGGGAGATTTCTCATAGAAACAATGTCTTTTGCAAAAGGACTCCAGAGACTGATGAAAATATCTGTCTGTACAGACACTTGCTGAAAGGTTTGACACTACGAGCTTGCACTCTCATTTCCTGTAAACATCAGGGGAGGCACCATTTTTAGGGGGCCAAATCTGGGATGAAACACTAGTGAATATTACGCTTAAATTTGACAGGCAGCATGAAGGACACAGTGTCCGTGTTGCTCTGTTTCGGCTGGGTGTGTGAGTTAACCGATGTTTGGTAACATTGTTGACGCACAACATGTTAGCCATTTAATGCAGTTTTAAAGATTTGTCTGTATATTTATAGCATGCATTTCCTGTTCTAACCATGATTGGATTCACTGATTATTATTCCAATATCAAATCTTTTTTTATTTGACTGAGGGCTAAAACAAAAATGATCATTCAAGGTCCTGAACTACTTTTCTTCTATTTAAAAGATAAAGATGAGCTGTGCAGGACCGCTGTCATGGCAAAGTCATGTATAACAGTAAAAACACATTCAGAAAGCTCAACTCTATCTAGACGTCCATGCCGTGGAAAAAGAAAGGAGGATTATTTTACCTCGCCAACAGACTCTGGAAACATGTCTGTAAAGTTCACACTGCACAGCATTACAACTTTGAAGACAAAGAAGAATAAGCACTTTAACAATACAATATTAAATCAGGATGCCTGTGCTGATTTCTTACAGTATACAGGTAGCATGTTTGCATTGACTGTTTCTTAGGCTTTCAAATTCAGATGTTTGACTACCACTTGCTTGGCCCACCTTTGACTTCCACGCTGTCACCCAAATTCAGATGTTTTGACTCCAAACTGACTAGATAGCAGTGAGCAGTAAACAGCAGATGCAAATGTAAAGTCTCTAGTGTCCAGCCACATTGTTTTTCTAGTTTGTTGTCATCTGCTTGACAATGGACAAAGTGAAACAGTCTGCAGTCATATTTTACCATTTTGTTTCATGCCACAGCTCAGTGGCAAAGTTTTTTGGTTGAAACAAGCCACTATATCCCCAGCAGAAAAAATGGACTCCACAGGGCTCCTTGTCCAATGTTACAGGAAGTAGGGCCCATCAATTTCAAAGAGCAGCCTTGAAGGACAGGAATCGTGAGCTAATATTGAAGAACTTCTTTAGAGGAACGACTTCTTGGTGCACGACATTATCAAATGGCTCCTAAGCCAGAAGAGTGCTACCAATTATGTTTATAGCTCCACTGAGCTCAACCAACCTTCCTAGAAGGAAAATTCACAAAATACAATTTTGCTATTTTGTTCCACATGCTGCAAGATGTCATCTGACAGTGGATTGCAAAAAAAACAGTAAACAGCAGATGCAAATGTACTGTTTCTTAGATAATCACACTCAGATGTTTTGACTACCACTTGCTTGGCCCACCTCTCTCCCACCCACATTCCACACTGTCACCCAAATGCAGATGTACTGACTCCAAACTGACAAGATAGCAGTGAGCAGTAAACAGCAGATGCAAATGTAAAGTCTCTAGTGTCCAGCCACATGTTTTTCTAGGTTGTTGTCATCTACTTGACAATGGACAAAGTGAAACAGTCTGCTGTCATATTTTACCATATTGTTTCATGCCAAAGCTCAAAAAGGTTCAAAGGAAGCCACTGTATCCCCACCAGAACAAATGGACTCCACAGGGCTCCTTGTCCATTGTTACAGGAAGTGGGGGCCATCAGAGCAGCCTTGAAGGACATGAATTGTGAGCTGATATGGAAGAGCTTCTCTAGAGAAATGACGCCTTTGTGCACTACTTTATCAAATGGTTCATGAGCCAAAAGAGTGCTAAACATTATGTTTATAGCTCCACTGAGCACAACCAACTTTCCTAGCAGGAGGAGAATGCATTTCACAGTCCTTTTGTTGCACATGCTGCACCATGCCATGCCTTAATCCTGACTTTAAAACATATTACTTCTAAGATGCACACATGA